GGCAAAGGGAAATATAGAACTTGGTACAGAGAAATACAGAATTCCAGCCCGCTCTGGCCATCTCGCCCCACCTAAGGAAAAGGAGAGAAAACTGAGAAGCAGTTCTGAAGTCCAGACTACAGAGGTGTAAGTTCACTAAAAGATTGAGTCTAATCAGAGAACCACTAATTGAGGCCTATTCGCAGCAGTTTTTACCCTACATCATGTCCAGCAATCGAGGAAGAATTACAAGGCATACTAAAAGGCAAAACATCATCTGAAGAGACAGTGAGCAGCAGAACCAAACATAACAGAAATGCTGAAATTATTGGACTGAGAAATAGAACAATGATCAATAGCTAGGGGCTCTAATGGCTAAGCTAGGCATGGTGCAGAGAGGGACACCGTAACTGGAGAGAGAGAAATCCTAAGAACCAACTAAAAGAAATTCTAGAGGTCAAAAAGCACAATAACAACAATAAAGAATACAAGAGCTATTTAGGAACCTGGATGTGGCTGAGGAAAGAATTCCTGAGTTCCAGGGCCTAACAACAGATACCTACACAACGGAAAAACAGAGGAAAAGATGGGAAAAAATCAGAACAGAACATGTTTAAGAACTATGAGACAACTACAAAAGATAATGCATGTCACAGTCATGCAATGATAGAAGAAGAAAAAAACAAAATTAGAACTATTTGAAACAATAATACTAAAAATCTCCCCAAATTAATGTCAGACACCAAATCACAGATCCAGAAAATTCAAGAACACCAAACAGGACAAATGCAAAACAAAACAAAAACAAGAACACAGAGGCATATCATATTAGAACTACAGAAAATCTAACATAAAGAACAAAACCCGAAACAAGCCAGAGAGGGAAAAGAAAATCACCTCCGGGCCAGCAGGTGGCATATTGGTTAAGAGCACTGGACTCCCTCATGGCTGACCACGGTTTGAGTTCCAGACCTGGCAGCTTGCTTTCTCACTTGTTCTCTCTCTCTCACTCTGTCCATCTCTGGTCAAATGTAAATAAATAAATAAAGTAAGTAAGTAAATTTTAAAAATTCTTTTTAAAAAATCACCTCACCTATATAAGAACAGAGAGAAGAATTAAATTGAACTCCTCCTGGAGTCAGCAGGGTGGCATGGTGGTTGAGTTGATGGACTCCCACATAGCTGACCACAGTCTGAGTCCTAGACATGGTGGCTTGCTTTCTCACTTTCTCTCTCTTTGGTCAATTAAAAATTAATTAATTAATTAATGAGATCAGCAGTTAGCGTAATGGCTATGTCGCTGGACTCCCATGTAGTAGACCGTGGTTCGCGACCCAGACCCAGTGGCTTAAAACTCACGCCGGGCACGTGTGCGTGCATGCCCAAGATCCCGAGAGGAGAATGGAGGAGTAGGGATTGTGGTGTGGCCATCTCCCCTGGGGGGGGAGGGGGGTGATTTCTCGCTTTCTGTCTGTGTCTCTCTCTGTCTGTCTGGCGAACGCACACGCCCTATGGCAAAAACTTCTCCAAAAAAAGAAAAAATTAATTAATTAATTTCAGAAAGTTCTTTTTTTAAAAAAATAAATTCAACTCTTCCTCAGAAACCATGCAAGTAAAAAAGGAATGGAGTGAAATATTTAAAGTATGCAGAGAAAAATATCCACCAACTAGAATTCTATACCCTGAAAAAACTGTCCTTCAAAAGTGAAGAGGGGATTCTAGGAAGACGGGAGCAGGAATCAATGGGAATTTTTATCCCCATCTAGGCAACAACTGAATTGGCAGAATCTGTCTGATATAAAGATCTTGGAATGCTGGAGCCAATTAAAGGCTTGTAACTTCCAGGGCGAGGCTTAGACTTGTAAACGGTGGTGGTAAATTGTGATCCATTTGGGCTCTTAGCGTGGTAACAGCTACTCAGGCCTGGCCTCCAGCCCTTAGCAGGCAGCTGTGCCGATGTTCCTGGATCATCCTGCACACGGCTCGGAAAGCTCAGTGGACAGAACAGTGGGGGTCTGTGTTCTGATCACTGATGCTGCTCATGCTCATCAAGGTGCGCGCACGCGCAGAGATGCGGCCACGGCTGCTGCACTCCGCCTCATAGTTGTCAGCCCCTCCCCCTCAGGCTAAGAAGAAGGTTCGGTCCCTGGAGCTGAAGTATCCTTGGGAACCAGCAGTTAGTGTAATGGCTACGTCACTGGACTCCCACGTAGTCGACCGCGGTTCGCGTCCCGGACCCGGTGGCTTAAAACTCACGCTGGGCGCGTGTGCGTGCATGCCCAAGATCCCGAGGGGAGAAGGAATTGCGGCATGACCATCCCCCCTGGGGGGCGATTTCTCGCTTTCTGTCTCTGTCTCTCTCTGTCTGGCGAGCGCACGCACCTTACAGCGAAAACCTCTCCCAAAAAAAAAAAAAAGAATTAGTATCCTTTTTGTAACCTTTTAATTTTTCACCTTTATCCCTTTGGGAGCTAGACATTAAAGACTAAAACATTCAACAGTGACTGTTTATAGGGAAAAATCAGAATGTGTACATATGAAGGATTGGTACAGGTTCAGAAAAGACCTTAGACAACCTTAAGTTTACACCTCAGGGTGGTACTTAGCACAGAGACAGGCTATAGCAACCACAACTCACAAAAACAGTAACAAAAAAACAGCAAACCTTAAGGATGGCGGGAGGGAGGCTTACATCATTTCCAAAGCAACTATATTATTCAAAGCTCAGTTTCAGGGTTACCACATAAATCGACGTTCCGAGATTACCATATTATATTGGGTTGTAGGAAAAGTCATGACGCGTTTTTCCATAGCAAAACAGAAAAATACATGACGGC